ACCCCGTGAGAAGCCGGGACGGGCTGCTAGTTAAATATAAAAAGTAAATAAAAGGAAACGTATTAACTGTTTATATGTCGTTTGAATTGTTTTTTTCTTAAAAGAACAAACCATGACACATTTCATCGCAATCTTTGATAGATTCATACGCTAATGTCAAGGTCAAACTATCCCACACATTTTTAGTAGCCTAAAGAAACCGATTTCGTAACATGTAGCTACTTTCTCATGAATATTTATAAATGCCCATGAAAAACACAAACTGCTTATGACTAATCATGTTTTGTTGTTATAGCTTGAATATAGAAACGTGTTTAGTAAAATTGTGGTCATAAAGAATTAGTTCTTGTTTCTGGGTAATTTGACTGAGGTAGAAATATTGATATTTCTCGTTATTAAGGTGTTTATACCGACTACTGAGCTAGAGATCTTGGCTTCATTTCTTGGGTGGGATAAAATATTACTGAGACTTTCATAAACATAACATCACGCCTTTTATTCCCAAAGGGGTACACAGAGGAGCACGTTACGGCACTTTATGCTACTGTACAATGTAACACACCCACTTTTCACTACTTATGTTACGAGTCCTATGTGAGATAGGCGCACGCCTATTGCGTTTAATACTGGGCATTAATCCAGACTCCGTGGTACTACTGAGATTTTTTTAAACCCAGTAATGCTTTGACGACCAGGAATTCGAACTCGAGGCCCCTTGCCCGGCTGTCGCACTTGCAACCACTCGGCCAACGACGCAGTCAGACTTTCAGTTGGCGAATGAAGAATAAAATATTACAATAATGTCATATTTTTAACACCTATAGCTACTAGGCTAGGATCAGTACCAGGGCACTATAGTCGATTAGGAGTATTAACATAATAACGGTGACACGCTCGACTGTGTAATTTACACCTAACGCATTTCATTAGCCGTACTAATTTAGTCTATGCACCTACCAGGAGATCACGAAACGCCAGGGATAGGGAGAATAGTTACTGTTAGACAAACATTTTTAGTTACTACATACTTGCGTATTTTTGTAAGATTATTATAATGGTCTTAATTGAGTACTACATAGAATGTGTTTTCGTTTAATTTCCGTTCCTGACTAAAATTACTTAAAAATTTGTACTCAGAAAATCATTATTATTCTCTCTGTGACGGTGATAATCGTAACATAAGATGACGCCTTTATATCCCCGAAGAGGTAGGCAGAGGTCATTACGGCACTTAATGCCATGATACAATGTAACACCCACTTTTGACTATTTATGTTACGAGTCCCATGAAATAAGTGGTGAGCCTATTGCCGGGCTATTATATACTGGGCACAATTTCAGACTCCGTGCTACTACTGAGATTTTTTTTAAAACCCAGTAATATGTTGCGCGACCTTGGAATCGAACCCCGAGACACCTTGCCGCAGTCGCACTTGCGACCACTCAGCCAACTAGGCAGTCTTTGTTTTTATTTTTTATTCACTATTCTCTCTATAGTAGTGCTAGTCATAAAGATATATTATTTGTGTAAATATGTAATGAAATAACTAAAAAACCTCTCTATAAAATAAAAAAGTGTTAGACTTAAATAACAAACGTATTAAAAAATTGCAACTTAATGCTAACGACTACAACAAACAAAGTACCTAACTGTTTGTATTTAATTATAAAAATGCTGAACAAAGATCATTTTATTATTTGGCTTAGCTTTCTAGCCATTGTTTTATAAAACAACGGTGCTTAAACGCTGATCTATTCGCAATTAAAAAATAAAAAATCATCGCATTATAAGTTCATAAAGGATCAGACTTTGGAGTAATAAAAATACTCAATTATTGCTTAATTATGTTAAGAATTATAATAAGACAATTGTTAATTGCTACACACCGGGTTTAGGAGCTCAATGGTTAATTAGTCAATATAAAATAAAATAAAATTTACTTTCAAGTTGAGCTTATCTCAAGTTTATTTTTCAATATCGTAATCCTCTTAAGTATCATGACATGGGATTTGCTTTGGACTCAGCTAGTATTAGTAACAATAAGTTTTATATTTTCATTTCGTATAAGAATGTGGCGTCCCACTATCTATAGTAGACTAGGTTCTGCCCGCGACTTCGTACGCGTAATCCCATTTTTTCCCGTCCCCGTTCGTGATTTTCGGTAAAAACTAAAAAAGAAGTATTGGTTAAAAAGCATCTTATGTCGGTCTCCTGGCTCTAAGCTACTTCCCTACCAATTTTTAGCCAAATCTATTCTGTCGTTCTTGAGTTATAAGTGGTGTAACTAACACGACTTTCTTTTATATATATAGATAGTGGGACGCATAGGACTCACTATTAGTATTGTTACTAGAATATTGATATTGATTTTGCTTGCCATGGACTGTCTATGGTTTCATTCTGGACGGAAGGACTGGAAACGAAAGAAATGGAAGGACGCTCGAGGGCTTAAGAACCTTCGTGACACTATAGGCGGTTACACTTTCAAGAACAAGTCGATTACAAATTTTACTATTGAACACGTATTTTATTCAAAGGTCTACCTCTAAATTACTCGGCCCATAACGCCAAAAGACTTTAACAATTGCATACAGTGATACAATAAAGTATTTTCTCGAAAATCAAAACATAAACTCATAGTAGGGGCCAAAAGTTAATCTACGCAAGTTAAGTAGACTAAAACATTGCCACACCGAGATATGAGACGTTCTGTCTGTTTGCATAATACATGAATTAGCGCGATTTATACCGCGCGTATACCGTATACGGTATACGCGGTATGTGTGTATATCGCGCGGTATGTATACTGCGATATACGGCGATACCGTGTCAACATTATTGTGACATTATGCATAATTAATGTTAATATGTTGGCGGTGCTTTCCTTTATAGAAAGCGTTTGATAATACATAGATAGTGGATTTAGGTGCTCTATTTAATTGTGTTAAATATTTATGATATGTGTTAGTGCTTCTGAAACTTTCTGCTGTTTTTATGTCTACCTTCTAAAGGTTTGTTTTAAATATTAGTTAATATTTATACGGAGATGCTTATCGACTACCACGCCTATTAGTTAGCTATGATAGATCACGCCTGCCTATACCTATAGGTAAACTATTCAAACACATTATTAAAAGTTATCCACTTATAAGAACTTCTACGCCAATAACTACAACAACTAGATTTGTACCCACTTTGTATACACACACAGAACTTCATAGAGAGAAACTATTCGATATAATAAAGTTTAAATCGGATCTATTTCTATTTCAAATGATACCAAAATAGAATGCCTAAGTTCTAAGTCTATAAGTACAAGCTACATAAAATACTTTCGCTCATCTATTTTCGTACTCAATTACTTCCCACATGAATGTGTGACGTCACTCGTGTCAAAAATACGTATTGTAATGGCGTATAGCCGACTATCTGACGCCTATATTAGGCTTCAGGGCGAATTTCCTTCTTATTGTCTCACACTTAGTAACTATAATTTTAGATTCTTGTTGAGAGTTTTTGGACCGAAATGTAATAAGCGACAGTAATGTTTGAGGCTACTATGACCTTTAACTGTTAATCTTTAACCGACTTAGGGGCGATCAATCATCAGTTATTTCTGTGGAATAAAATTGACATTTGTCTGGATTTAGTATGGAAGCATTGACAAATATTCAAAGTAATTCCTCATTTAAAATTTATTTGGGGTTGGAAAAATTAGCCCTTAAGGTTGTATAAGTTTACACTAAATTACAACAACTGATTACGATTGATAGATAATAATTTTAGATTTATTACTTAGTACCTACGAGGTAGGAGGCCGTAATGACCCGGAGGTTTAAGACGCCCGCTTCTAATGCAGTGGGTGCGGGTTCGAAACCTACCAACAGCAAGTACCTATGTGACTTTTTTCGACTTTCTAAGGTTATTTAGACACCACTGACAAACAGTGAAGGAAAACATCGTGAGAAAACCTCGACTTGAAATTCTAATTGTAAATTTGAAATCGCCAACCCGCATTGAGCAAGCGTAGTCATTAATGCTCAAACCTTCTCCGTGTGAGAAGAGGCTTTGCTCAGTAGTCGGCACTTACAGGTTGTTGATTGCTAAGTACCTATGACAACTAGCCTAAGTCTGACTGTACATCATACAAATTTTATAAAAATAAAAAGAGATGGTTGAATGATACCGACAGCTTTTTATTAAACACATACTAGTCTTCAAGTAATTACAAACTATTACTCAAAACTAACAATTAATCAAAATTAGCTTTAACCACTTCTAAATAGAGCACAAAATGGCATAAGATGATTTATTATCCATACATAATTCATAATATGAACTATATGTAGGTAGTAAGTACAATGGACTTGAATTGATAAGATTTTAATAGCCGCAGTTAAACTTACTGATAAGATATAGAGGACCGATTTGTTCTGATTTTATAACGTCAAGGTTGTACACCTTTTAATGTTGTTTTAATTAGTTCATAGATGATTTTTTGTTACTTGATAGTGTTTTATATAATAGGATTATAACAGAATTTGGACCCAAATTCACGCCAAGTTATCACTTAATATAGAAGGTTTTCTTTGCATTGTATTTAGGGCACAATGATTTATTTTAACACAAAATACATAAATAATATTCGTATCAGTACTAATTAATATTTGTTTTACACTTTATTGTATGTTATACCATAAAAACATAAAGATAAAAATAAAACATGTGTACAATGGGCGGTCTTGTCGTAGAATGCGATCTCTTACAGACAACCTTTGGATGGAGCCAGTAATCAGGAATAATATATTTATTTTTCATAAAATAAATTAATACTGTTCTTTACAACGTCCCCCATTTCTATCTATGCTCGCAAAATACTGAACATTGGCTCCTTACTCCATATAAGAGTCGAATAAATCTATACAATACATAAGAATAGGAACATTTATATAAAACAAACTGGTTTCCAGTTCTCTTGTCAGCATATAAGATTACTTACCTCATTGGTGTTCCATCGATGTCGCTGGGCAGCAAAATGTTCTGCTCGAGGCAGGCTCTCCAGGTTCTCAGGCAATTTGATAGGCTCGCCATCTGAAACAACATATTCAGAATTAAGCTATTTCCTTTTTAATAGCATGCGTTTCTATACATGGAACTACGACACACATTCCATTTAACACAACTATTCGACGTATGTATGTTGTCTTTGTTCCACTGCTCATCAGTCGTACTAATATTGTAAATAACTAGAAGATTTTGCCCGCATAACTAGATCAACAAAAATCCAGGCACAAAAACCGTACCATCGAACACGATGTAACTCGCATTTATAATATTAGTAACGATGATCGAGTGAATAAGAGTGTTCCGAACTGAGAATCGAATTGTTTCTAATACTCAAGTCTTTTCAAACAATTATCTCAAAGGAACTTAAAGTTAGGTTATACATCAACTTAAATCTAACACACAAAGCAAAACATCAACAATCGCTATAGTTATAATTGCATTCATTAAACAACAAACAATTCTACATATTTACTTTATCCGACCCTGGAATCGAACCCGAAGTCACTTTGGCAGCAGTCTCACTTACGACCACTTGCAATAGATTTCCAACTTTATTGCAAGTTAATTAGGTTGACGATCGATTAAAGCATCTTGTCCGATTGGTGTAGTTTGACGTGCAGTCGGTTCAAGACAATATACAAGTGATTAAAGTGAATACAGACACAATAAGCTACAAACAGCAATATATATTGCAATTGCATTATTTCACCGAAGGAAGTGACTCATTTGCTATTGAGTACTAGAAGTATTCGTTGTGACAATAGGAAAATCCTTTTGAATTACAATATTTAAGCAGCAGTTTTGTTCAGTTCAACTCTAGTATTCTATTAATACAAAACGTGTACAAACATTAGTTCGGTAGTTCTAAAGTGACTTTAGAATTATTATTAATTCCTTATTATATTACTTTAAATTTCGTTCTCAAGCCAACTAGAAGGTGCTTAAACTTTTTTAGAAGCACGGAGACTTCTAACGCGATTATCACAATTAATATCCAATCATATCACAGATATGTAGCATTTCTTCAAATTGTAGGTTTGGATTCATATCTAAATAATACACATCCAAGTTCGAAACAACAATACATACATGCATGGAACATAAACTAAAATTACAACATCTTCCAAACACAACAACATATGTTAACACATACATAGTTAACATATTTCTAAACATAATGGCGTCCACTTCAGAGAACCCACAGAAACAATTAAGTTCCTTACAAACTTGTACTGTAAACTACCTGAGATCTAGGCTAGGGAAGTAAATACTTCAGTCCAAATTGCAATACATGCAGTGTGCAAGCATACCAGCGTTGGTCCACAGGAAGGTGTGGAATTCTCCTGTAGACATAGGTACATAAATTGTCCCGCGGCCGGCTGACTAAATTTATTGATGTCTAAATCTTACTGCGGGACTATCAGTCCACTGTATGGGACATTAGTTTAATGATGGATGAAATAGGGATGGTGTATTTATTGAGTTACTGAAGAAGTTGGGTTGTTTGGAGATTCGTAGGATTGATGGACGGTTAAAGCCAGTCGGGTTAAGGATTTTTTTAATATTTATTACTAAGATACAAATAAACGTTACAACAAATTAAAATAACACATTTTAAGAATAGAAGATCAGACCGTTGATAGGTGAGCAAAAAACAAAGCAAAAAAAAATACGACAGCAAAAATATTGAAATAAAATTTTTCACACAAATAAAATACATAGATTTAAAAAACATGTCCTCATCATTCTTCAAAATGTCCCGAAACTAAACCACCCGAAATCCAGTAGAAAACTAAAGCGCAAATAAAACAATAAACTGTACCCCGAACGAGGTGAAAACTGCCCGGTTTTTGGCAGCATTCGTCATGAATGTCTGCACTGCTACTGGGGCCACTGCCTTCCAAACAACCGCTTTATTCTATCCTCCCGTAGCTCCAAATCCGACCTTATCTCTCCAACCATAAAGACTCAAACGAGCGCATTCATAATCATGTATTTCAAAGCAATCGTCCAACTTGTTGAAATTCCGCCGCCGTCCGCTTTAGCGACTGCAAAATTAACTTTAGCATCCCTGGAGGGGGTTTGACCTTTAAGGCAGCGAGATAAGATTCATTTTGGCTCGAGTTTTTGTTGTAGTGGTGAGGGTTCTAAGTTGGTGGAGCGTATAGGATGTAGGAAATTCGCTAGCCAAGCTTTTGCTCTAGTGCTCGCTAATTTCGCACCCAATCGTGGCTAACGGATAACGTGGGCGACATTCTTTGCTTTTATTTAGTCAGAATTTTTTGGGAGTCAGGGGCTGGCATTTGAGATGCGGTTTACGTCTCCAAATAATTTCGGTAAGACCCCAGATGGGATTGCTGGCGGTAACCGTGAAAAAACTAAACGATGTTACCTACGTAATCTCGTTCTGGAAAAGTAGGTTGTATTAAGGCCTTTTAAAATTAAATAGGATTACTCACGTTAGTTGTTGAGCACAAGTCTATTATAGAGGATTGTGCGTTGATCTCTTGAGACAAAGATAATTGGTCAATGCGAAATACATCATGCATGTATTTCAAAGGGCTTTGCACATAATTAAGCGCATTTCCTTGAACAATAGACTCGCCCTCAATTACATGGGGCTTAAAACATAACTAAGGCAGTATTGGTTGCACGGAGAACCGTAAGCGTTATTTCCATTTAGCCGCCGATAACTCCTGGTTGCGCTACCCATTTCCCAGCTTTTCCCAATTCAGATTGATACCAACTATCGTGGCAGTTATCTAGATTACTCGGCACGGAAACTGTCACTGTTGTTTGTAAGACTTAATCCCCTAATCGGTTTCCAATTAGGGCAAGATTAGTTGGCAACAGCGGCGGCGACTCATCGTGAGTGGTCAGCTGGACATTTTTGCAGTAAAATCCTTAGTTTTAAGGGCAAATCACAACTAAGTACATAGAGTATACAGACACATACATGCTCAACTAAACATCAAGTGGTTCTTAAACTAACTATAGTGATACACATAGAGGGAAGGTTATAAATATCAGCTTGGAGTGCACCACTGTATAGAAAAGGTTTCTTGAAGAATGGATTACAGATCCCATGCAAACTTAAGAAGGAAGAAATTTGGCACTTCTTGGCATTATGTTTCCAATTGTTCATCTAAAAGTTTTTCAAGAAAATTTTGACCAAGAACATCGCATTACCCTTTTGTGGATAATAAAGGTCAGACTGATATTTAGCCGAGTTCAGGCTCAGTGCTGACTCAAACTTAGCCAGGAAAGTTCAGGAAGAAAGAAAGTAGGGTTCCAGTGGCATCCAAGAAAAACGAAAAGTACAGACAACATGAAATAGTCACATTGGTACTTGCCAGATTTCGAATCCGCATCCTCTTGCTTGACAAGCGGGTGCCTTAATCTCCGGGACACTGCGACAATTAGAAAGAAGCAAGAAAATATATTTATTTGTCTATATAAATCACTTAAGATGTAAACTAGATTATTGTATTGTAGAACTATCTACGATAAAACGTTTTCATTAAAGAATAGCATTCGATCCTGTATTGGGAATCTTTCATGTACCTAATTCCCAATTTATCACAGTTTAAGTGTAATTTCTTAGACATATATCGTAGTACATATTGTAGTACAATAAGGCTTCCTGATGAAAAAATATCTGGCTAAGAATAAGAACCGACACCAATGCTTTAGAGACATACATGACATTTTTTTTTATTAATAACACTTTATTGCACACAATATAAGGTAGATAAGGTGTATTTAATGCCATATGGCTATTCTCCCAGTCAACCTCTCATAGTATCAGTCATAATATTAGCACATACGAGTTTATGTTATAGAAGCGAGGTCATATAAAGGACATAGCAAATGGCTATTGTAATGATGACTTAGCGTTTTCTGTGCAGATATTGCCGTTGATAAAAATAAGGTACTTGAAATAATCTACACTAAAGAATGAGCTCAAAATCGTTTCTATTGTGTAAAGTTTAATTATAATGCATTCCAGTTTTTTATAAAGATTTGTATTACAGGTACGGTGGCCGTTAGGCCACCTATCCTTTTCGATCAAATTTCTCTATTGCATCTTCAACTTTATTATAATTGACACAAAGTCGAAAATCCAATGAAGGAATTTGACAGATTTGAGTAGATTGGTCTGCTGACTACTGTACTATATGTCCCAGTGTTCCATCAACACAATCACAATCACTCAACCAAACCGGAAGAGTTCACAACTCACTATGACATAACATAACATAACTTCACGCCTTTTATCCCCGAAGGGATAGGCAGAGGTGTACATTATGCCACTGTACAATGTTACACCCACTATTCACTATTTATGTCATGAGTCTCATGTAATTGGGGGTGAGCCTATTGCCATATACCGGGTACAATTCCAAACTCCATGCTACTACTGAGAATTTATAAAATACCCAGTAGTACTTTGCCCGACCCGGGAATCGAACCCGAAACCCCTTGCCCGGCAGTCGCACTTACGACCACTCAGCCAACGAAGCAGTAACAATGATTAAACAGAAAAAAAAATGTGTGATGAAATCCAATAACCAATTTAATCAGTTATGAAAACCTGTAATCGCGAACACACCGCCTAGATTTTTATGATCAGCTGCTCTCGTATCTATGACACGACATAAATTACGCGAATTCATAATCTAGATAAGACCTAAGTACCTAAATAGGTCGTTATTAGTCGAGAGCTCATTGGCCGAAGGGTTGAAGACTAGTTACGTTCAAGTTTTGTCATTACTTCCAAGGATGTTGTAAGTAGATATGTCTCTGATGAATATAGCTCGCTATTTGAGACAGACGTGCATGTAATAAACGGTCTCCATTATTTATTACTTATGTTAAGGAAGTTTCTAAATATCTTATTGATATACACTAAGTACATAATATAATGATTCATAACTAATTGAAGTATTTGTTAAATAATTATGTATCAAGATAATTCAAAATCGCTAGCAAGACTAAACTAAGAATGATGAAATAATATTAAGAATAAAATTGTAATTGATATGGGATACTTACTCGTACTAATACGATTAGGTAATTTTTTGTATGTTTTACTACACCTTACTATTTGTTTACTCAACATCTATTGAAAGGGTCTATAAAATAAATAACTTATTTGCAAGCCTAGATAATAATATTATAAACTTTGAACTACGTTCTCAAAAGGTTCTAGGATAAATAAAAAACATGCATACTTTATAAAAACCTGTTAATTTATTTCATAACAATTAGAACTTATATTTAATCACATTATAAATTGATCTATATTTAACATCACACCCGTGGCATATAGGCTGCTTTTTCATATACAAAATCCAATTAAATTGTTGATATATAAAAATAATCTACGCACAATACGTCCCTAAGAAAGGCAACAAATTCCAACCATAATAAATTATTACTATTTTATTATTCTACAAATGTCACTTTGACACATGTCAGAATGACAGATGTCAATTTGTATTTTCACAATAATTTTATAAATAGGTTTACATTTATGAATGGGCATATTATTATGGTGTCTCTGACCATTTAAATGGATATTGTATCCCAATAGAACAGATTAAATTAACACTTTCATAACTGATTTTACTTTATCAACTTAATAGAATCTTTACGTTCTATGTTTACAATACTTTTACATAATAATAAATAAACAAACGTTTCACTTTTAATAGCAATTTCTCATAAGTTAATGTTGCAACCAAAAAATAAATATCTTATACAACTCATCAACTCATATATGTAATGCAAGTGTACCTATCCCTCAACATCGTAACCAGATAATCAACTAACCCTAAAATATCAAATTACTTCAATAGATTTTCAACTTTACCCATTTGAGAATAAGGTCGAAAATCTTGACAGCCGGTAAGACTTCGATCGTATTTATTTGTTTAATAGATACTCAACCTTATTCCTTATGGTATACAATTGAAAATCTATTATATTGTACTTAGCAACTTGAAATTTTTACATGTTATATGAACTCGGTGATTTATATGGCACTAATATTGTCTTAACATATTAAACGCCATGGGGTCACCAGTGACCGACATTAGCAGAGGATTTGCCTTCAACAGATTTCTATTGGCAGTCAAAGCATTAATCAGGAACTAAATATGTAACAATCATTAACTCGTCGAGTACCGGTTTTGTAGACACAATTATAGAACAATAGGTTGCGGTCACCGGTGACCGCTTGGTGTTTGACAGTTTAAATAGCATAAAATAAGTGTAATTACTACTTTGTCTCACATTTATATGCAGATAAACATACCATAAGACATAATAAATATGTAAAAATAAACAATCCATCATATAAATAACTCGGAACAACATAAATCTGGTGAACGATTAGATACGGCCTTGCGCATGCGTTGAGTACGGACAAAAAATATTTAAAGAAACCTGTAAGTTGAATGATTCAATATTTTTGTAAAGAAATCTTGAGCTATATTGTGTTTGTATAATATTACCGAATGTTTGTAAATTAAATACAGGCGGGTTTGTTTTCTATATTCAACTTTTCTGTTTTACTAGCTTTTACCCGCGGCTTCGCTCGCGTCACAAAAGGATAAAAATATCGTATGTGACATATACACACAGCGCCATCTATACCAATGATTTCGTTTTTCCTCGAGAATATCAAATTTTTCCGGAATATAAAGTACCCTATTATTTAATCCAAACTTCTAAATTTACGTCTGCAAAAATTCAAAGCAATCGGTTTAGTAGTTACTGCGTGAAAGCGGAACAAACAAACAAACAAACTCACTTTCCGATTTATAATATTAGTAAGGATAGTTTTTATCCAGGTAAAGTAATCCACGTCACTTATAGACCAAAATGGAAACGAGGATGCCTTCCAAATGTATCGAATATACAGATACAGTATTCAAATCCCATGAAAGGTAAAAGGCATATTGAAGTTAATTAACGAAAAGTACCTAAAAAACAACAGCGTTACTGTACTTCTATATTAATAGACATAACATAACATCACGCCTTTTATCCCCGAAGGGGTAGGCAGAGGTGCACATTATGCCACTGTACAATGTGACACCCACTTTTCACTATTAATGTTATGAGTCCCGTGTAATAGGGGGTGAGCCTACTGCCATATACCGAGCACAATTCCAGACTCCGTGCTACTACTAAGATTTTTTTTAAAACCCAGTAATATTTTGCCCAACCCGGGAATTGAACCCGAGACCCCTTACCCGGCAGTCGTATTTGCGACCACTCGGTCAACGAGGCAGTCATTTAGACTAATTTAGAAATTCATCAAAAATATCGAAACTGTTTTGCGTAATGTACAATGACGCTAAATGATGACGAGACATGATATAATCATCTTAGTTACCGGTCTGTTAGACGTGGAATGACAGAGCACTTAACTGCTTCATATAGTGATTATACATATTTATATAATCATTGAATGACTTGTAATATTATCATTGATAGGAAGGACTCATTATGAGTAAGTAGCTCACGGTAATATAAATTCAAGTCACCATTTTGAAAGTATTAGATAGATTTGTACTACTTGTGATGATACAATTGATTTGCTGTAACAATATTTGTGTACGCAATGAATTATATATAACTGAACCAATATTCCCAACATTATCAGTGAGAATCGTCGTAAAATTAAATCATTGATTTTCAACCTTATTACAGAAGGATAACGTTGAAAATGTATTAAAGAAATAGAGACTTTCAGTCCAAAATTAATTAATTAAATTTTCAACAATATTATAACTACTGCATTTAGCTACACTTACTAATCACATATGAATAATAATTATTCGTTTTAACAAACTTTACATACGATGAAAATATATCAAATTACAAAACTGTTATCTGTTTGAGCCTTCAGAAACTAAGGAATAAAAAACTTATTATTTTTACAATATAAATTGGATAAATAACTTGAAATATTATTTTACGATGGAATTGTTTAGGTATATCTACAGCAATGTTTGTTCTTAAAGTTTAAGAAAGTCCTGAATATAGTCTATTTTTATCTTATGAATTTAGTATGTAACATCTAACTGAATAACTACCGGCAACCTTACGATAGCACTTCAAACAATTGAATATAGCGTCCATGACAATTGATTACAATCATATCACTATAGAGTTGCTATTTTTATAACTGTAGAATAACGGTGTGCACATCTCGAACTTGTTTTTATCACTAGTATTTGCATTTTTGAGTAGCACTGTGTTTGATACTTAGCAAGGTGAGCTGAGAGACACGTCTATGGTAAAAAGTTTGATTAAGCACTATTATAATAGAAGAAACCACTATTATTATTAATCTAGAAGGGACCAGCTCTTGCAGGGACTATTCTCACCACGAAATCAATCACTCTATTCCATACAGTCTGATTATCTAAAACACATTGCGTATTATTTCTTCTTCTTCTTCTCGACTTTCGATGGTACGAACAATGCTACCGTCTTCTGTAGGAGCTCAGTGAAGATCATGGTACCAATAAAGACTAGGAGAGTACCAATCCAATGTCCAAGAGTGAATGGGTTTCTGAAGTAAACGATGGAGAAGAGAAGCGACACAAACTTCCTTAATGTCACTGTCAAGGTCACGATCAAAGACGCACATTCAGTTGTTAATACGTAAACAGCGCTGATGCATAATCCCTGAGTTAAGACATAGAGGATTAACCACAAAACTTGTCTTGGAAATTCAAAGCCAAGGAATTCTACTATAGGCGTTTCTGTGGCGATTTTGACGTGTCCAATAAGATTTGAGGCTGTTGGCAACCAGAATACTAATGGTAGTAAGTGCGTGTAATACAATGCCTCCCATGGATGCTTTCCGTACTTTGAGTATAGTGATTCTTGAAAGATTCCCATACGAGCTGATACGAACAGGGCGAAGGTTAGGATAGCTATTCCTAGACACCACCAGAGCCAGTCAATGAACTTTAGTCTCTCTTCCTCAGCTGCATCTTCGTGAGTTTCCCTAGGTGCTTTCACATCGCCGCTGGATACTATAGTACATAAAGCTATACCAGCTGATATCATAAAGATGGCCAGGTACTTCAATGGTGGGTAGCTCTTCTTTAAGATCCATACACCCATAGCCATGTTCGCCATCAACGACCCAGCTCTGAATATCATGTGCAAAGGCATCGATATGTTGAAGTCGAATGCATAATTGTTCGCAACGCTACTCGTCCAGAAAAATCCAACTAGTAATAAATATTGTTTGAATGGAATGTTTCTTTTCGCTGTGCCGAATTTTCCAACTGTTATAAATCCCATTGTAGCGATGAATAAAAATTGTAGGAATGTTGCTAAATTACCCGCACCCGGGTCTTCTTTTACAACCATTTCTAAAAACACTACGTTGGAACAACATCCCACAAAGACCATAGTAATGGCCAAAGCCGCCTTGACGTTCATTTTGGATCTGAAAAAAAAAAGAAAAAAATGTTACAAAAAGTTATTCCGATACCGGGAATCGAACCCGAGCCTCCTGGGTGAGAGCCAGGTATCCTAGCCACTAGACCATATCGGATGTTATAATGTTAGTCGAAATTGTGTCTCTTATTCAGCATGATGTACAAATTTGGAATAAAAATAGATAGTATTTATAATTATTATGTGTTTATGATAAAGTCCACTTTATAGTCCACTCCAGTTATTAGGTGATAACACCATTGAATAATTAACCTGACATGCGCACTGCAGCCAAAACTGTAAGGTTATTGTACTGCAACATTCTGTGTTAAATAGACTGAATAATCATTAAAATCGATGTAAATTAGTTATAATAAAACGTAATACTTACATTTATTTCTTTTCACTATCACAAACACGATATAATCACTTCAATTGCAGCATTATTTACTACAAAATGTCAGACACGTTTGACAACGGAGCGAACCGGGCCGCCAATGTGTGCGTAATCAACCAGTGATTGTAGTTGTGACCGTGGCCTCGAACACATCTACGCATGCGCAGAGCGGCGCTGTCGGTAAAACTGCATGAGTTTACAATATTAATCTTATAAATACTAGATGGCGTTGTACTCAATTAGAAGTGCGGTTCAATGTATCAATGTGTACCGATGATAATCTTTTAGAGTAGGTAAGTACTGTTTATTCGATCGAAAGCTACGTATTATTTATTTATATTGAACAGGGTTCTACGTCTGGGGTAGAACAATGATGGCGGCTCGTGAAATATTGAAACTTTACTCATACAAAGTTGCCTTCAACAGGTATCGTATTGACTAGGTAATGTGAAGTTTTGTTGACTTTATTGCTAGTTCTATGAAACGATTCAATTTGTGTACGTTAATAAGAATTAAATGTATAAAACTCATTGCAGTTTTAATATAATAAATTAATGAAAAAAAACCTTTCTTTATACAAATAAGTTAGAATAATTGTAGCAAGTTTGGAAAAAATAATTAAGTTTGAATAAAATACAAGTGATAAACGAAAGCAAGTGGGATTATCGGAATATAAGTGACATAACACCAAAAAAATGCGCCTATACCACACCAAAAAGGTTTTATCTTACAGGGTCAATGTACGAATTGAGTATTTTCACTCTGTAGGTATGTACCAGGTAAGATAGCGCGCGCTATTATAATATTAGCATTTCATTTCGTAGAACTGTATTTTTTTTTCTTCTTTGATAGAGTTATTTTAACAAACCTAGTAGGTAGACTACATAAATACAACCGTTTTCAACAGTGTAATGTAATTAAATAAAATCATTTTTTTATCGCTAACGCTTATTTTGAACGAATTGATTCATATGAAATTATTTACTTATTTAGACACAGTATTGAGACACGATAAAGGGGTATTCCCCTTTCCCTTTCCCCTTTGAGAAACTCCTAGGTAGGGCCACAAGAATATTTCCTTTTTTATATTTGATGGGCCGACGTTTGACCACTATCTCACTCCTTGTGGCCCTTTTTAGGATTTCCTCCTATTTCGTGTATAGGTAAACGTCAGCGTAAAATGAAGAAAGATAACATTGCAAAACATAAGTACCTATTATAAAGTCAGAAACCACATAATAGAGCAAAATAACATCGTAAAAAACTTAGTACGTAGCTACATCAATTAAGGCAGTACAGAATTAGACCTACCTATTTCCTAGGCCCCATAAGGTCACTAGTCCCTCTATAAATCGTTTCGTACGGTCCATAGCTCAGCAAGTCACCATACATTACAACGATTGGCGAATAGCCAGTAAGATTAACAAAGATTTGTAGCCGTTAAGACCATTTAAAACTTACATTATCCTATGAGAGAAGTCTAACAATAGCTGTGTATGATTTGTTTGTGCTAATTTGTCTCATTCAAAATGCGCACGGACGGGGCGAATCGCGAACGGCCCGCAAACATCTTGCAAACGGCATGCGAGCATATCGCAAACGGCTTGCGAACAACTAGCGAGTAATAATGTGAATGTAAATGTACCATAAGGCATGAGTTTATGTGCTTACCTAACATTGTACCTTCTTTTGGGTATTTGACTAATAAGTATTTTTTCATAGTAATGTTTTAACGAGTTTTTTTTTTCATAACAAACCTTAAATCAGTCTATAGCATCCTGACTTTCTCGACACACAAAAATCATACAACGGAAACGGTCCGATACAATATAAAAGGAACACAAACAAACACACTGTCGCATTTGAAATATCAGTAAGGATAGTAAGGGTATACCAATAAACAAGAAAATGTACGTAAGTGTACGGTTAAAATAAATGGTGCTTATCGAAGACGAGAGTGATATCCTACCCTTTTACGAGTATTGAGTTATGCCATATTGGTTTCAAGATATACATACGATATCCAAAGTTGTACGTAATGTAGGAAATTGTAGGTCGGATACCGTAACACGCTGTATAAACGGCCTTTCAATTCGTGTTTGATAGATCCTTTACACTGTCTTACCTCTTCGTGATCAGTATATAAGGAGGGAGATAAAAGGGATTGAGGTCTAGGTACTTAATTGAATTGTGTAATGAGTTACATGTTTCCATGGAATAGGGGATAACACTGTAGGGACACAAAGTCGCAGTCGTCTTATACTTTATTTCCATACCTCAACCTTCAGCAGTATATTTCATAAATTAGAATATTGTTAGGTACATATAACAACAGACACTAAAGTTGTTACCCCGACATGATATGTTGCCATACACACCACCTAATTACATAACATCGTCATCACCTTTTGTACCCGAAGGGCTATCCCTTCGGGTACAAAAGGCCACAGTGCCACATTAGCCACAGTGGCCTGTACAATGTAACACCAAGTTTTCACTATTTATGTTATAAATCCCATGTAATAGGAGGTGAGCCTATTGCCATATACCGGGCACAATTCGAGACTCCGTGCTACTACAGAGAATTAAAAAAAACGCATTTTTATTGCCCGACAGGGGCAAAGTATTATTGCCCGAACCAGGCATCGAACTCAAGACCCCTTGCCCGGCAGTTGCACTTGCAACCACTCGGCCAACGAGGCAGTTTAATAACCACCTAATAACCTAGTAAGAAATTCTAAAGTAGAGGGTATTCCAAAGTAAAGAAGTATCTAAAATGTCTTTAGCAATCGTACTTACAACTATGATCAACGAGGCAGTGTTCTCGTCTTCGAGTCCTTAGATCAATAAAATAGTTCACTTTTAAAACATACTTGTAAAATTAGTTTTAACAATTAAAACCCAATCAATGAAAGAATATCCCAACCTTACTATTCACATGTCGAATATTCACACAAAACACGTGACATAAGATGGAAGACAATCCCCCCTACCCTTGACAAGTGTCCCCCTTCCCCCTTCACAAACGAGTGCTCGAGTCAACTCACTCGACAAACAACAGAGTTATCTCGTAAAATATCTCATAGCTCATCTCTTCAGATATTTTGTTTGATCTAGTTGCATCGTTACAGGCAGACATCAGATATCGATAAAATGGTAACTTTGCGCATTGTATTTGCATTGAGATTTTTTTTCTTTATAGGATAAGCTGGTAAACGAACAGACGGACCACCAGATGGTAAGCAATCGGCACCGCCCATGGACACCTGAAACACCAGAGGCGTTACAAATGCTTTACCGGCCTTTTTGGATTAGGATTGTTGGGGATTCAGGGATTGTGGAAGGAGGGGCGGATACCTCACTCACACGACGAAATACAACGCAAGCGTTGTTTCACGTCGGTCTTCTGAGGCCGTGGTATCACTCCAGTCGAGCCGTCCATTCTCTCCCACACGTCATTTGAGATGATTTTGCAAACTGTAGAAAAGATTCTAACTGGCTAGTATTTACAATTTGAAGTCAATTTTTTTTCTTGGTGACGCCATGAGATTCATGTATTATGAATAAAGGTTTTGCCATTTTGCATACATTTTGAACTGGTAGTTATATTATTATGATTTTTGGAACACGAAACTACGTCAATCTTACTATCTTACTCCTTACTAATATTATAAATGCGAAAGTCCGTATGTTTACGTGTTTTTGTGTTTGTTTGTTACACAATGACGTCACAACAGCTGAAGGGATCTCGGAATGAAATTTGGAACAGGAACTGATTTTTGTCTGGATTTATTATAGGGTACTTATTATCCCCCAATTAAAAAAAAAAAGAAACAACAAATGGTGTTATGGTGTAGTTTAAAAACGAATTTCCTTACAGCACAACAACAATACGAAGCCTATTCCATTTCGATTGAACACCCAACACAGATACCTACGCTACATCATCGACACGATTACAAAACGGCGCCCTACTCTCAACCAATCAGCGGATCCTTACACTGAACTGAATCGAAAGAACAATCGATGTTCCTCTGCCACTTAGCCACGAACTCGAGTACTATCTTTACATAAAAATAAAAACAAAAAAGCAAGATTTTTCCGCCATCAAGGAAGCGGATGAAAATATAAAGGAGACGCCCATTGCCACCCGAGAAACACGTATCTAAAGCTTGACACGCGAAATAATACAATTTGCTAAACACATACAGTCTATATCCGCTTGGCACGAACTTAGTTGCATAACCGTGACTGTAATTCAATTATTACGGGCCGACGCGTCCAACTAACGACCTTATGGATATAAATGTAGACTGACCCAATGATATGTGAAATTTTGTTTGATTATCGGGAGATTAATCCCGGAACTAGTTTCCTGTGAACATCAGATAGCAGTTAGTTGGAGATTATTTTTTTACGTAGGTAGAGTACTAATTAAGTGCTAAGAATAAGGTTTTATGACAAATTGGCTGTCAGGCAAAATAGACGTTGAATAAATCCGATATTATTATTTTAATACACATTTCAACTCACAACAACCACGTCCACGTCCACGTCCAACCATATGCTGAGGTGGAGGCCCTTTTGGCATTAGCACGCGCAAATTAATATTATTATTTTGTTTATTAGAAATTGCTTTTTTTTATTGTCTATTAAAAATTCTATTATTATCGTTTTATTATTTTGTTATATTGTGATGTTTTCTGTTCTGATCTGTATTCTTGTAAGTTTATTATTAGTATTTTGTTTACTTATATTATGTATTTTTATTTTTATATATTCTTTGTTTTCTGTGCGTGTAATTGCCAAATAAATGTTTTTTCTTTATTTTCTTTCTTTCTTTCAACACACCCGTATTTGTTGTTGTACATCTACGTTAATAAATTTACTGTTTTTTTTTTATGTTGGCTCACACTAGGATTTTCTCCTGTATCATGGGTACGTACATAACATACAAGTTCACTTACATGACACCCAAACCTGAAACAACAATCTGTGGATCACACAAAGAGTTGCTCCGTGCGAGAATCGAACCTGGGATACGTTGCTCGGCAGCCAGTTGCCCTGCCCCCGCGCCAACCGTGCAGTCGTGTCAATGAGACATTAGTCCAAAATGTTCGAAGTTATAA